CAATACCGGCCTCTGACGCGTCCACCTCTACCTGGAACAGTAAAGCGGGGTCCGGGTGCGCCAGCACCGGAGCCGAAGTGAACAGGTCCTTCAGTTTACCAAATGCCCTGTCCGCCTCTGCCGACCACTGCAAACGCGCCGGGCCCCCCTTCAGCAGAGAAGTAATGGGAGCTGCCACCTGTCCAAAACCCCGGATGAACCTCCGGTAGTAATTGGCAAAACCCAAAAACTGCTGCACCTCTTTAACAGTGGTTGGGGTTTGCCAATTACGCACGGCTGACACACGGTCAACCTCCATCTTTACCCCTGACGCGGACAACCGATGACCCAAGAAGGAGATGGACTCCTGGAAAAACAGACATTTCTCTGCCTTGACATACAAGTCCTGCTCCAACAGCCTACCCAATACTCGGCGCACCAGTGCCACATGCTCGGCCCGTGTAGCAGAATACACTAGGATGTCGTCAATGTACACTACTACACCCTGCCCATGCATGTCCCGGAAGATCTCGTCCACAAAGGATTGAAAGACCGAAAGAGCATTCATTAACCCGTATGGCATGACGAGATACTCATAATGACCCGAGGTGGTACTAAATGCTGTCTTCCATTCATCTCCCTCCCTAATGCGCACCAAGTTGTAGGCGCTCCTGAGATCCAGTTTTGTGAAGAAACGCACTCCGCGTAATGATTCAGTCATACTCGCAATCAGCGGAAGAGGGTAACTGTATTTGACAGTGATCTGATTGAGACTACGGTAATCAATACACGGGCGCAACCCTCCATCTCTCTTCTTCACAAAAAAGAAACTAGAGGACGCAGGGGAAGCGGAGGGCCGTATGTATCCCTGTCTCAGGGACTCGGCTATGTATGTCTCCATAGCCGTTGTCTCTTCTTGAGACAGAGGATACACATGGCTCCGCGGGAGTGCTGCCCCTGTCTGGAGGTCTATCGCACAATCTCCCTGTCTATGAGGTGGCAGCCGCGTCGCCCTAGTCTTGCTGAACACGAGTGCCAAATCCTCATACTCAGGGGGAATGTGCATTGCGGGCACTTGGTTCAGACTCTCCACTGTGGTCGCCCCTACGGAAACACCTAGACATCGCCCAACGCACTGGGCAGACCACTCCTTGAGAGCCCTCTGTTGCCACAAAATGGTGGGATCATGGGCGACTAACCAAGGAAGCCCCAACACCACGGGATACGCAGGAGAGTCGATCAGATATAACTGAATGGTCTCCTCATGACCCCCCTGCGTCTTCATCTTAAGTGGTGCTGTGACCTCTCTAATCAACCCAGATCCCAACGGACGACTATCTAGGGCATGGACAGGAAAGGGAGCATCAACGGGCAGGAGGGGAATCCCTAACTTAACACAACATTTCCGATCTATAAAATTCCCAGCTGCGCCTGAATCGACTAGCGCCTTATGCTGGGAATGAGATGCAACCTGGGGAAACATTACAGGTATACATAAGTGAACAACAGAGAGCTCTGGGTAAGTGGGGCGCCTACTCACCTGGAATGGCTCCCCAGCGCGTGACCTGTCGCCCCGACTCCCTGGAGACCCTCCCCAGCACCGAGCCGCAGTGTGTCCTCTACGACCACAGTTGGTGCAGGGGACGGCCTCCCTAGGGCTCTCTCTCCTCCTCCCTCTAGCGCCAGCACCTCCGAGCTCCATAGGGATCGGCTCGGAGGCGCTGGAGGATGGTATGGACGGCCCCAACTCGGGACGTCCGCGGGTGGCCAGCAGGGTATCTAGACAGATGGACATGTCCACCAACTGGTTGAAGGATAGATTGGTGTCCCTGCAGGCCAGCTCTCGACGAACGTCCTCACGCAGGCTACACCGATAGTGGTCGATGAGGGCCCTCTCATTCCACCCCGCATCCGCCGCTAGAGTCCGGAAATCCAGGGCGAACTCCTGTGCGCTCCTCTTCCCCTGTCGGAGCTGGAACAGACGCTCCCCCGCCGCTTTACCCTCAGGTGGATGATCGAAAACTGCCCTGAAGCGGCGGGAGAACTCTGCGTAGGTGATGGTGGCGGCGTCTATTCCCCTCCATTCGGCGTTGGCCCACTCCAACGCCTTGCCGGAGAGACAGGAGATGAGGGCGGAAACGCTCTCGTATCCCGAGGGCGCCGGGTGTATGGTAGCCAGGTAGAGTTCTACCTGCAGGAGGAACCCCTGGCATCCGGCTGGGGTGCCATCATACTTCTCGGGAGCGAGAGCCGAATCCCACTGGATTCCGGTGCTGGTATGGGAGGACTGGCCGATGGTGGTGGTACGGTAGGAGGAGGTGTGGGCACTCCTCCTCTCTCCCATCGGTGCAGGGTGTTCATCACCTCTTGCATGGCTGACCCGAGTTGCTGGATCCTGGCGTCCTGGCTGCTGAGCCGCTCCTCCAGCGACTCGGGCGCCGCCGCTGCTCCTGCTGACTCCATGGAAGGTATGTAATTCTGTCAGAGTTCGGATGTGGATGCAGTGGTGGAGTCAAGCGCAGGACAAGGAGGTTTAATCCAAAATGTCTTTACTAAATAAAGCACAGGGAAACAAAGGCCTCAAAAACAAAGGAGGCGAACGATTACGCACACACGCGTAAACACTAAACATACACGAGACACCGAACGGACAAGCGGACAATTACACACAACTGCAAACAAACCAAAAGGGAAACTTATAGGTGACATAATCAAAACTCAATACGAAACAGGTGCACAGACTAGACCAAACAACTATCGAAACATCCAGCGGTGGCAGCTAGTACTCCGGGGACGATGAACGCCGAAGCCTGCCCGAGCAAGGAGGAGGAGCAGCCTCGGCAGAATCCGTGACACATACATTAATTTTTTATTTTTACAAGCAGCAGACACATTTTCGAGAGTATCTGCCCTAGATACAGTAGTTTCCTGCTAGTATTATTTATTTCATGGATTAATTAAATTGTAAATGAAAATATACACACGTGGTGCTATAGGATATATTCATATTTTACATTATAATACACTACCCCTACATGTTAGTCATTTAGCAGACGCTCTTATCCAGAGCGACTTACAGTTAGTGAATACATATATATATTTTTTTTTTATACTGGCCCCCCGTGGGAATCGAACCCACAACCCTGGCATTGCAAACACCATGCTCTATCAACTGAGCTACATCCCTGCCGGCCATTCCCTCCCCTACCCTGGACGACGCTGGGCCAATTGTGCGCCGCCCATGAGTCTCCCGGTCGCGGCCGGCTGCAACAGAGCCTGGATTCGAACCAGGATCTCTAGTGGCACAGTTAGCACTGCGATGCAGTGCCTTAGACCACTGCGCCACTCAGGAGACGATGCCATTGTACTGTAGGATATATACATATTTTACATTGTAATACACTACCCCTACATGCCATTGTAGTATAGGATATAAACATATTTTACATTGTAATATACAACCCCTACATGCCATTGTATGCTGAATTGAATGGGGGATCCATAACTACTTTTCCCTGAAGGAGGGAAACGAGGTATAACATACAACTTTGATTGAAGACCTAAAATCATGCCTGACAAGACCAATTCAATCATAACCGTATCCTATTATAGTGTGGATACAGGGGTAGCCTATTTTACAATAATGGAACTGTATGTGTTAGTATTATTTATCTAATTGATAAATTAAATTGTAAATGTGAATGGGTACGCTACTTCATTCAATGATTATGGTATTGTATAAGGTAGATACAGGAGTAGCCTGTAGTCTACAATAATAACATCATTGAATGTGCTATAGTATAATTTATTTCATTGATGAATGAAATTGTAAATGGGGATGGGTAGGCTACTTCATTCAGTGAATACTGAATGTCTTGCTATCTCTGGGAGTATGTTAATGAAGGATTTTCAGCTGTTGAACTATGGCAGTGTTAAACTAATTTCTAAATGTATCTCTTTATTTTAATCAAGAAGATGTGATGAGCCAGAGCAACCAATCAGCTTCACTGCAGCTGTTCAACCCACTTCTCTCCCTCCACAAGCAACTACATCCTATTCTCCTGTTCAACTAATTTGCCACCTCACTGAAAAGGACTGTATATACATACCCCTGTGCCAATCTCAGTGCAGCATGATCCATCGAAGGCCTCAGCTGGACGCCTGTAAACAAATGCTACAGTACTGTGTGTGTATGGATGGAGTTCCAAGAAAAGACATGAGTGTGATGTGCCCCTCTGTGTCAATGTTGAAATGCCATAAATGGAAGATGGCAAAGGAGATAGTGATGTGAGTGTGAGCGTATGAAAATAAAGACCCCTTGGGATCTAAAATGAGTGTGGCGTGCCCTCTTGTGTCTGTTTGAGGATACTACAGTCACCCCTGATGGAGGTTCTTGGAACACTGCTATTTAAGTCTGAGCAAAGGTTTGGCGAAAACCTTCAAAGTTGGTGGTGCTATGTTGCGGGTTATCTTGAATACCAGGCAGATGTTTGAGTACAGAATTAAATGGTGTACACTGAACAGGTTGAACTTGTTGAGTACACTCTTCGAAAAAGGGGTTCCAACAGGGCTCTTTGGCTGTCACCAAAGGAGAGCCTTTTTTGGTTCCAGGTAGAAGTATTTTTGGTTCCAGTAAGAACCATTTTGAGTTCCATGTAGAACCCTCTGTGGAATGGAACCCAAAAGGGTTCTACCTAGGCACAGAAGGGGTTCTACCTGGAACCAAAAAGGGTTATTCTATGGGGACAGCGGAAGAATCCTTTCAAGTTCTAGATAGCACCTTTTTTTCTAAGAGTGTAGGCCTATATTGCAGTGGTGGTTCCGTGGTTTTCTGTAAAAAAATAAAAAAATAAAATGGTTCATTGGTGGTGGTGATAAGTTAAGATAATCAGAAATACTATGAAACATCCCCACTTTTAGCACACATTTGCAAGCAGGCAAAGTAGACTACTTCTACAGTATATACAGTTACTGGTTGTTTGGACATTAACATTGATTTTGCACTTTGTGGATGTTGTCAGGGTTGTTGCTCTCTCCATGTCACCGGTGGATGACATGTTTATCTCGGGATCATTGGATATGACCATACGACTCTGGGACCTGCACTCTCCCACCTGTCAGGTGAGTAAGAGCAGCTTTAGAAGCCACAGTCATTTTGCTCTTCAGATGAGCTTAGGAAAATACAAATCAATAAAATGTGATTTGATTTGTCACATGCGCCGAATACAACAGCTGTAGACCTTACCGTGAAATGCTTACTTACAAGCCCTTAACCAACAATGCAGTTCAAGAAATAGAGTTAAGAAAACATTTACTAAATTAACTAAAGTAAAAAATTAAATTAAAAGTAACACAATAAAATAATAATAACGACGCTATATACAGGGGGTATTGGTACCGAGTCAATGTGCGGGGGTACAGGTTAGCTCTCAATGTACATAGTGGCCATTTGATTAATTGTTCAGCAGTCTTATGGCCTGGGGGTAGAAGCTGTTAAGGAGCCTTTTGGACCTAGACTTGATGCTCTGGTACCGCTTGCCGTGCGGTAGCAGAGAGAACAGTCTATGACTTGGGTGACTGGAGTCTTAGAAATTTTTTTGGGCCTTCCTCTGACATCACCTAGTATATAGGTCCTGGATGGCAGGAAGCTTGGCCCCAATGATGTACTGGGCCATACGCACTACCCTCTGTAGCACCTTATGGTCGGATGCCGAGCAGTTGCCATACAAGGCGGTGATGCAACCGGTTAGGATGCTCTCGATGGTGCAGCTGTATAACTTTTTGAGGATCTGGGGACCCATGCCAAATCTTTTCAGTCTCCTGAGGGAGAAAATGAGTTGTCATGCCCTCTTCATGACTGTCTTGGTGTGTTTGGACCATGGTAGTTTGTTGGTGATATGGACACCAAGGAACTTGAGACTCTCAACCCGCTCCACTACAGCCCCCTCAATGTGAATGGGGGCGTGTTCGGCCCTATTTTTCCTGTAGTCCACAATCAGCTCCTTTGTCTTGCTCACGTTGAGGGAGAGGTTGTTGTCCTGACACCACACTACCAGGTCTCTGACCTCCTCCCTATAGGCTGTCTTATCGTTGTTGGTGATCAGGCCTACCACTGTTGTGTCGTCAGCAAACTTAATGATGGTGTTGGAGTTGTGCTTGGCTACGCAGTCGTGGGTGAACAGGGAGTACAGGAGGGGACTAAGCACGCACCCCTGAGCGGCCCCAGTGTTGAGGATCAGCGTGACAGATGTGTTGTTGCCTACCCTTACCACCTGGGGGCGGCCCCTCAGGAAGTCTAGGATCCGGTTGCAGAGGGAGGTGTTTAGTCCCAGGGTCCTTAGCTTAGTGATGAGCTTTGTAGGCACTATGGTGTTGAACACTGAGCTGTAGTCAATGAACAGCATTCTCACATAGGTGTTCCTTTTGTCCAGGTGGGAAAGGGCAGTGTGGAGTGCGATTCAGATCGCGTCATCTGTGGATCTGTTGGGGCAGTATGCGAATTGGAATGGGTCTAGGGTTTGTGGGATAATGGTGTTGATGTGAGCCATGACCAGCCTTTCAAAGCACTTCATGGCTACCGACGTGAGTGCTACGGGGCAGTAGTCATTTAGGCACGTTACCTTCGCTTTCTTGGGCACAGGGACTATGGTGGTCTGCTTGAAACATGTAGGTATTACAGACCCGGTCAGGGAGATGTTGGAAATGTTAGTGAAGACACTTGCCAGTTGGTCCGCACATGCTCGGAATACACGTCCTGGTAATCCGTCTGGCCCTGCGTCCTTGTGAATGTTGACCTGTTTAAAGGTCTTGCTCACATTGGTTACGGAGAGCGTGATCACACAGTCGTCCGGAACAGCTGGTGCTCTCATGCATGCTTCAGTGTTGCTTGCCTCGAAGCGAGCATAAAAGGCATTTAGCTCGTCTGGTAGGCTCGCATCACTGGGCAGCTCGCGGCTGGGTTTCCCTTTGTAGTCCGTAATAGTTTGCAACCCCTGCCACATCCGACGAGCATCAGAGCCGGTGTAGTAGGATTCAATCTTAGTCCTGTTGTCACGATCGTCTGGGTAAGGAGTAGTAGACCAAGGCGCAGCGTGTGAAAGAAACATGACTTTATTTAATTAAAGTACTAACAAACAAACAAAACACGACTCGTGAAGTCCAATGGTTAACATACCGACACGGAACAAAAACCCACAACACCCAAGAGAAAACACACAGTTTAAATATGGCTCCCAATCAGAGACAACCAGCCGACAGCTGACACTCGTTGCCTCTGATTGGGAGTCACACATGCAAACATAGACATAGACAACCTAGAACACCCAACATAGAAAATTAACACATAGAATGCACACACCCTGGCTCAACATATAGAGTCCCAGAGCCAGGGTGTGACAGTACCCCCCCCTAAAGGCGCGGACTGCGACCGCGTCTTAACAAACCCCAAACAGGGGAGGGCTGGGTGGGCATTCCTCCTCGGAGGGGGCTCCGGCTCCGGCCTTGACCACCACCCCTCCATAATACCCCCGTAGCGCCCCTGGTCCGGTCTGACCCCGCTGGCAGGATCTGGACTGGACATAGACGGAGCGGATAGCTTACGCTCCGTTGTGGAGCAGCTGACCGGTCTTACCAGGCTGACGACTCGCACCCCGGGCTTGGTGCGAGTAGCAGGAACGGGCTGAACCAGGCTGACGACTCGCACCCCTGGCTTGGTGCGAGTGGCAGGAACGGGCTGGACCAGGCTGACGACTCGCACCCCTGGCTTGGTGTGAGTGGCAGGAACGGGCTGGACCAGGCTGACGACTCGCACCCCTGGCTTGGTGCGAGTGGCAGGAACGGGCCGGGCCGGGCTGGCGACGCGCACCGTATGTTTGGTGCGAGTGGCAGGAACAGGCCGGGCCGGGCTGGCGACGCACACCGTAGGTTTGGTGCGAGTGGCAGGAACAGGCTGGGCCGGGCTGGCGACGCACACCGTAGGTTTGGTGCGTGGAGCAGGGACAGGCCGGGCTGGGCTGGCGACGCACCCCGTAGGCTTGGTGCGTGGAGCAGGGACAGGCCGGGCTGGGCTGGCGACGCACACCGTAGGTTTGGTGCGTGGAGCAGGGACAGGCCGGGCTGGGCTGGCGACGCACCCCGTAGGCTTAGTGCGTTGAGCAGGGACAGGCCGGGCTGGGCTGGCGACGCACCCCGTAGGCTTGGTGCGTGGAGCAGGGACAGGCCGGGCTGGGCTTGCGACGCACACCGTAGGCTTGGTGCGTGGAGCAGGGACAGGCCGAACCGGGCTGTGGAGACGGATAGGAGACCTGGAGTGAAGAGCGGCCACCACCCGTCCTGGCTGAATGCCGACCCTCACACACTCTGTGTGAGGCATCCGCACAGGACGTACAGGGCGGTGTACCCCTGGCCTGGTGGCCTCCTGGATTCGCCCCATCTTTGCCTCCGTCAGCCCCGTCGTCCATGCCGTGTGCCCCCCCCTAAAAATTTATTGGGGTTGCCTCTCGACCCTCCGACGCTGCTCCCACGTCCAGGTTGCCTGTTCCTGGACACGCTGCTTGGTCCTGGTATGGTGGGTTTTTCTGTCACGATCGTCTGGGTAAGGAGTAGTAGACCAAGGCGCAGCGTGTGAAAGAAACATGACTTTATTTAATTAAAGTACTAACAAACAAACAAAACACGACTCGTGAAGTCCAACGGTTAACATACCGACACGGAACAAAAACCCACAACACCCAAGAGAAAACACACAGTTTAAATATGGCTCCCAATCAGAGACAACCAGCCGACAGCTGACACTCGTTGCCTCTGATTGGGAGTCACACATGCAAACATAGACATAGACAACCTAGAACACCCAACATAGAAAATGAACACATAGAATGCACACACCCTGGCTCAACATATAGAGTCCCAGAGCCAGGGTGTGACACCTGTATTGACGCTTTGCCTGTTTGATGGTTCGTCTGAGGGCATAGCAGGATTTCTTATAGGCGTCCGGATTAGTGTCCCGCTCCTTGAAAGCGGAAGCGCTAGCCTTTAGCTAGGTGCGGATGTTGCCTGTAATCCATGGCTTCTGGTTGGGATATGTACGTACGGTCACTGTGGGGACGACGTCGTCGATGCACTTATTGATGAAGCCGGTGACTGAGGTGGTAAACTCCTCAATGCCATTGGATGAATCCCGTAACATATTCCAGTCTGTGCTAGCAAAACAGTCCTGTAGCGTAGCATCCGCGTCATCTGACCACTTCCGTATTGAGCGAGTCACTGGTACTTCCTGCTGTAGTTTTTGCATGTAAGCAGGAATTAGGAGGATAGAATTATGGTCAGATTTGCCAAATGGAGGGCAAGGGAGAGCTTTGTATTTGTCTCTGTGTGTGGAGTAAAGGTGGTCTAGAGTTATTTTTCCTCTGGTTGCACATGTGACATGCTGGTAGAAATTAGGTAAAACGCCACTAGGAGCGCCGCTTCTGGATGAGCATTTTCTTATTTGCTTATGGCCTTATACAGCTCGTTGAGTGCGGTCTTAGTGCCAGCATCGGTTTGTGGGGGTAAATAGACGGTTACGAAAAATAAAGATGAAAACTCTTGGTAGATAGTGTGGTCTACCGCTTATCATGAGGAACTCAATCTCAGGCGAGCAATACCTCGAGACCTCCTTAATATTAGACATCGCGCACCAACAAAAATCCAGAAAATCACTTTGTATGATTTTTAAGTAATTAATTTGCATTTTATTGCATGACATAAGTATTTGATACATCAGAAAAGCAGAACTTAATATTTGGTACAGAAACCTTTGTTTGCAATTACAGAGATCATACGTTTCCTGTAGGTCTTGACCAGGTTTGCACACACTGCAGCAGGGATTTTGGCCCACTCCTCCATACAGACCTTCTCCAGATCCTTCAGGTTTCGGGGCTGTCGCTGGGCAATACGGACTTTCAGCTCCCTCCAAAGATGTTCTATTGGGTTCAGGTCTGGAGACTGGCTAGGCCACTCCAGGACCTTGAGATGCTTCTTACGGAGCCACTCCTTAGTTGCCCTTGCTGTGTGTTTCGGGTCGTTGTCATGCTGGAAGACCCAGCCACGACCCATCTTCAATGCTCTTACTGAGGGAAGGAGGTTGTTGGCCAAGATCTCGCGATACATGGCCCCATCCATCCTCCCCTCAATACGGTGCAGTCGTCCTGTCCCCTTTGCAGAAAAGCATCCCCAAAGAATGATGTTTCCACCTCCATGCGTCACGGTTGGGATGGTGTTCTTGGGGTTGTACTCATCCTTCTTCTTCCTCCAAACACGGCGAGTGGTGTTTAGACCAAAAAGCTCTATTTTTGTCTCATCAGACCACATGACCTTCTCCCATTCCTCCTCTGGATCATCCAGATGGTCATTGGCAAACTTCAGACGGGCCTGGACATGCGCTGGCTTGAGCAGGGGGACCTTGCGTGCGCTGCAGGATTTTAATCCATGACGGCGTAGTGTGTTACTAATGTTTTTCTTTGAGACTGTGGTCCCAGCTCTCTTCAGGTCATTGACCAGGTCCTGCCGTGTAGTTCTGGGCTGATCCCTCACCTTCCTCATGATCATTGATGCCCCACAAGGTGAGATCTTGCATGGAGCCCCAGACCAAGGGTGATTGACCGTCATCTTGAACTTCTTCCATTTTCTAATAATTGCGCCAACAGTTGTTGCCTTCTCACCAAGCTGCTTGCATATTGTCCTGTAGCCAATCCCAGCCTTGTGCAGGTCTACAATTGTATCCCTGATGTCCTTACACAGCTCTCTGGTCTTGGCCATTGTGGAGAGGTTGGAGTCTGTTTGATTGAGTGTGTGGACAGGTGTCTTTTATACAGGTAACGAGTTCAAACAGGTGCAGTTAATACAGGTAAGGAGTGGAGAACAGGAGGGCTTCTTAAAGAAAAACTAACAGGACTGTGAGAGCCGGAATTCTTACTGGTTGGTAGTAGATCAAATACTTATGTCACGCAATAAATTGCAAATTAATTACTTAAAAATCATACAATGTGATTTTCTGGATTTTTGTTTTAGATTCTGTCTCTCACAGTTGAAGTGTACCTATGATAAAAATTACAGACCTCTACATGCTTTGTAAGTAGGAAAACCTGCAAAATCGGCACTGTATCAAATACTTGTTCTCCCCACTGTATATCCTTCGCGTCGGACTCATTAAAGAAAAAATCTTCATCCAGTTCGAGATGAGTAATCGCTGTTCTGATATCCAGAAGCTCTTTTCGAAAAAACACACAAAATAGCACAGTTGGTTAGGAGCCCGTAAAACGACAGCCATCCCCTCCGGCACCATTATAATATATATATATATATATTACAGAGAGATATGTTATATAATGTAACAGGTTTTGAAATATGTGTTTGTTTGTCTCAGGGTCTTACTAATCTTTTGGGGGAAGCCTGTCTGCTCCTTTGATCCTGAGGGCCTGATATTCGCTGCTGTGGTCAACTCTGAGGCAATTAAACTGTGTGCCCTACGTTCCTTTGACAAGGTAAGACTGTGAAAATGTCTATAAAACGTGTTATTGTTAACTGTTTGTAATATACTGTAATGTGATGATCAACCTCAGTGATAGTCCCTGAGGTGAGGTCATTAAGTCAGTTTGTGTTGTTTTCTTGTGTTCAGGGCACCTTCGCCTCCTTTGAGACTCAGTTCAGCTGTGTGTGTGAGTGAAATGGATTGAAGTTCAGCAGAGACGGGAAGCAGATTCTCATCTCTACCAATGGGGGCACTATTCGCATCCTAGATGCATTCAATGGATCCATGCTGCACACTTTCTCAGTGAGAGAACTGATATCACACTGCACTGATGGATCTAATGTGCATGTTCACACACAGATGTACTAGTATGCAAATAGCTCACACCATGTACTATCTCTAGTAAATACATAGATATTTTCTTAGACATGTGTCTCTCCTGTGTGTTCTGTAGGGCTACAACAACAGTAAAGGTAGTTCACTCGAGGCCTGCTGCTTCACCCCAGACTCAAAGTTTGTCATGATTGGTGAGCCCAACACTTCCAAGTCCCAACATTAGAACTTGGCAAACTAGGCTGTCTTACCCAGCCCTCCCTGATGCACGGAAATCTAATATCAGAACAACTCAACACAATTTCAAGTCTGACTCAAGACAATTCTAGGGTCACCCAAATCAATTTGCCATTTGACCCTATTAACTGATATTATTACTATCTGAACTCCAATAAGTCCAGAGGTTTGTATAACTATTTTCCCCCAATCCATCATCAATAACCACCGAACTAACCCTCAGAGAGTGGGATGAAAATAGCTGTTCTGGATGGGAAGCATTCAGGGCCAATCAACACACTGCAGTTTAACCCCAAATACATGATGTTTGCCAGCGCCTGCTCCAATATGGTGAGACACACACACACTTTCATCAGCCAAACACTCACTCACTCAGACACGCGTACATTGTCTTTCACTCTTCCCTGCCAACCTCTACCCCACGCTCTCTGTCTCTCTCTCTTTGCCTGCGTTCTGGCTTCCCTGTGTAGGAGACTGATAAAGGGGTGGGGCCACAGAGAAACTGTCATCATCATTACCCAGCATACCTTTCTCCTTTCATGTTGCTCTGAGTATGCAAAGGCAGAACACTGTGGACTCTTAATGGCTCCATATAAAATTGTAAGCACACTAAGGCATTGGTGAAAGGGATTCCAATGTCGATTATCCATGAGGAGAGCTGTCACTCTATAAACGTATTTATTTGCCAAATGGGGAATGTTACATGAGGGGAGCACTAGAGCTGTGGGATACAGTAGCTATTGTTCACTGTGACAGGTGCTTGTGGCCTGCAGATAAGTTGAGATATGTTTTTATAAGAGTAGAGAAGACCTGAGGTGTACTACTGGCAAAAACTTGTTTAGAGATATATTTGTTTTTACTGTGATTCTGAGCAAACTGCCACATAATGTTAATAAGTAGAGAGTTATAGACTTTTAACTTTTTCATACAATGACAAACTTCAATCAGGTATTCATTTTAACTGCTGATAAATGTTTTATTGGGAATTCAATGTTAGTGTTTTTTGGACAGTTTATTCTGAAATTATTCAAATGTTTTAACGTCTAAGTTTTATGTCCTTAAACTCTGGTGTGTTCATTGGTGAAAACAAACTGTGTGTGTGCATTCCTGCCTGCGTGTGTGCGTGCACAAAAATATAACGTTTATCTGTGTGTATAGTAGAGAGGGGGCCTCTGTTGAATAATGTATAGAACCTTGGAGCTTACTGAATTATGGATGATCCCATCACAGGTAACCTCACAGGTACACACTCATCTTTCTCTCACCACCTATGTGTGTGTGTCTGTGTGTGTGTCTGTGTGTGTGTGTGTGTGTGTGTGTGTGTGTGTGTGTGTGTGTGTGTGTGTGTCTCTTTCTGTCTCTATCTTTCTCTCATACACACACTCACAAGCAGACATATTGCTAATGAAAGAGCTTTGTTCTTAGTTTTTGTACCTGGCCATTGTTCGGTCCATAAGTCCTGACCATTGAAAAACCCACCACTCATGCCCCTATGACATAATGCTTTGTAGACCTAAGCCTGTGTGTAATATCATAAGCCTATATTCTACCTATAGCCTACTTTACCATTTAATGCTTAGTTTACAATTAGGCTGGGATATGCAAATAGATAGCTTTTACATCAAACGGTATCTGAGATTTATCAGTCAAGAGGAACAATGCTTATCTCTCCTATATTAAACTGGGTCTAATTACATTACAGTCTGTAGCTTACCAAAGGTGCAGTGTCGAAACTTTGGGGTCAGCTTCATGCGGGGTGTCGCATTTCTGTGACCAGGTGGGTGGAATTTGAGATCTCTGTTGCGTCCGTGTGTGTTGAACCGATCCGGTTCACGATGTGCATGAGTGATAATATGTCATTGCTGATGACACAGGGACAGACATCCAACAAAAGATAGAGACCTAACGACACTAATATCTTTCAGTTGCGGAGTTCTGAAAGATAACGTGTCTACTGCGCCTGCGTTGCACCTTGTCGCCGTGTATAGAAGCGCGTCGTTGGAGAGGTCCATCTCCCGCCAAGCTCTGCAAAGTGGTTGTCATTGATACGCGAAGAATTTTAGAGCAGTGGTTAAGGTGGCATATCCACTGACAGCTGTGTTATTACTCACCTGCCACAGTTCCACAGGTCAGGTTTCACGCGTTAGGAATCCCCCAAATCAGCCTTGGGGCGTTTATGTCACTGTTGCTGAAGTTGGTTTAGGCCGAACTGTCTGCTGCCAGTACAGAGGAGCCAACTGAGCAGCAACAGAGAGAGAGAGCGAGAGAGAGAGAGAGAGAGGACACGTAGATACTCACTCTAGAAGGCTACCTTGGAGGAGAGGATTTTGAAGCAGAAAATCTTACTGCCAAAGGATGTCGCACCAGACTGGAATCCATGGTAAATGTCCTATTGGGTAGGCCTAGACGCGCATGATATCATTGGAACTAATGATAGCTAGTGTTGTATTGTATAGAGGGGAAAAGTGATTATTATCAATTACCAGTGCTCTCTCTTTGCGTTGTGCCTTTGTGCGTAAAAGATAATTGTGCGTAACAGCTCTCCAATCGTGTAGGCCTACCGCTCCGTTCTGAGTTTTAAGAGTTGGGTGTTGCAACAGAATTCGGGACATTCTGCGACACAACACTGTAATTTGATGTGATTTAATGTGATGGTAATTAATTCTTACAGTAAGGGGAATGTTATGCCGGCTCGTGGTATTCAGCTGGTGAGTGACACCTCGGGGCGCAGTCTGTGTGAATACGCGTATGGAGCCTATAAACTTACTCACATAATCATCTTAATTGTAGTCTACATAACGTATAGACATTTAGTCCCATATAGGACCATTAATTTTTCTCCCATATGATAAATATAATGTTAAACATTATTTGGCACATTCCTGAATGTATTGAACAGTGGGGATATTTCAAACCCTATAGTTTTATTAGATGTACTGTATCTATGGTAATGTGTGTTTAGTTTATGGCTATGTGCATATGTTTCAGCATGTGAGTAACTGGAGCTAGGGGCGGAAGCATACATCTCCTCTCTCACCTATCTCACCTGATCCTACATCATTTATGAGACTGCTGCTGTGTTTGGTAACCATGGTGAGAGAGGGGTGGGGTACAGTAAATCCCCTTAAAGAGGGGAAACTCACTTAGTGTAATAACACAAATTATGAGCTCAGTCCATTCGAAAGAGGCCGACTTTCCCCAACCAGCATTGACTGTTCTGGGATCAGCTTGTTGTGTATAGACTCTATTCCCTCCATGTCTGCTGTACAGTATATCTGTGACCCCTGTGATACCGTGAGTGCCTGGCAGGAGATCAGATTTTCTCCCCAGAGTCTCAAGTTCTTACTGCCCCATCTCTCTCCCTCTCTCTCTCTCTCTCTCTCTCTCTCTCTTTCTTTCTCTCACTCTCTCTCCATCTTCCTCTCCTTCTCTCTCTCTCTGTCTCCCTCTCTCTCACTTTCTTTCTCCCTTTCTCTCGATCTCTCTCTATCTCTGTTTCTCCACCTCCCTTTCTCTTTCTCTCTGTCTCCCTCTCCCCCCCTCTCTCTCCCTTTCTCTAAATCTCTCTCCACCTCCCTTTCTCTTTGTCTCCCTATACCTCTCTCTCTCTGTCTCCATCTCTCTCTCTCTGCCCCCTCTTGTCTACCATACCATTGTAGCATCGGATGAACTGAAGGACTTCCTGGCCAGGGCGAGGGGAGGGACCATCAGAATAGCAAAGATTGTCATCAGAGATGGTAAGCATGGGTGTTGTATGTACACAGTATGTGAAGTCTAGAACCAAGACTGAGTAAAGAGCACCTGTTTATCTACCAATTGGCTGATCTTCTTAACCTGATCCACTGGGGACTAGCAACTATTTAAATGTGAGGACTGTGCTCAAGGTGAGAGTTTGATATGAGTATTTCTCTGTCCATCTTCCAGAGGAGCTGGTGCTAGGCTCATACAGAGAACCTGCACAGAGCTGGGACAAGGACTATGATCACTTCCTCCTTCCTCTGCTGGTGGCTCAGGAGCCCTGCTACATCCTGTACCGCCTCGACTCCCAGAATGCACAGGGCTATGAATGGCTCTTCATCGCTTGGTCACCTGATCAATCACCAGTACGTAAATACTAAGACCACACATCTCTATTTGCATTCAACATTCAATAACATTATGCAAGCTTGCAACACTATACAAATCACCAGAAAAAAATGACAGTTGTGTTTTATATACAGTACTAGTCAAAAGTTTGGACACACCTACTCATTCAAGGGTTTTTCTTTATTTTTACTATTTTCTACATTGTAGAATAATAGTGAAGACATCAAAACTATGAAATAACATATACAGAATCAAGTAGTAACCAAAAAAGTGTTAAACAAATCAAAATATATTTTATATTTTAGATTCTTCAAAATAGCCACCCTTTGCCCTGATGACAACTTTGCGCACTCTTGGCATTCTCTCAACCAGCTTCACCTGGAATGCTTTTCCAACAGTCATGAAGGAGTTCCCACATATGCTGAGCACTTGTTGGCTGCTTTTCCTTCACTCTGCAGTCAAACTCATCCCAAACCATTTCAATTGGGTTGAGGTCGGGTGATTGTGGAGGCCGATGCAGCACTCCATCACTCTTCTTCTTGGTCAAATAGCCCTTACACAGCCTGGAGGTGTGTTGGGTCATTGTCCTGTTGAAAAACAAATTATAGTCCCACTAAGCAAAACCAGATGGGATGGCATATCGCTGCAGAATGCTGTGGTAGCCATGCTGGTTAAGTGTGAATTGAATTCTAAATAAATCACAGACAGTGTCACCAGCAAAGCACCCCAACACCATCACACCTCCTCCTCCATACTTCACGGTGGGAACCACACATGCAGAGATCATGCGTTCACCTACTCTGCGTCTCACAAAGACACGGCGGTTGGAACCAAAAATCTCAAATTTGGACTCATCAGACCAAAGGTCAGATTTCCACCGGTCTAATGTCCATTGCTTGTGTTTCTTAGCCAAAGCAAGTCTCTTCTTCTTATTGGTGTCCTTTAGTAGTGGTTTCTTTGCAGCAATTTGACCATGAAGGCCTGATTCACACAGTCTCCTCTTGAAATTTTCTGGATTGACTGACCTTCATGTCTTAAAGTAATGATGGACTGTCATTTCTCTTTGCTTATTTGAGCTGTTCTTGCCATAATATGGACTTGGTCTTTTACCAAATAGGGCCATCTTCTGTATACCACCCCTACCTTGTCACAACACAACTGATTGGTTCAAACGCATTAAGAAGGAAAGAAATTCCACAAATTAACTTTTAACAAGGCACACCTGTTAATTGAAATGCATTCGAGGTGACTACCTCATGAAGCTGGTTGAGAGAATGCCAAGAGTGTGCAAAGCTGTCATCAAGGCAAAGGGTGGCTACTTTGAAGAATCTCAAATATAAAATATATTTTGATTTGTTTAACACTTTTTTGGTTACTACATGATTCCATATGTATTTCATAGTTTTGATGTCTTCATTATTATTCTACAATGTAGAACATTTTAAAAATAAAGAAAAACCCTTGAATGAGTAGGTGTGTCCATACTTTTGACTGGTACTGTATATGTGTTATTGTCACATACACCGGAGAGGTGCAGTGAAATGTGTTGTTTTACAGGGTCAGCCATAGTATTGCGGCACCCCTGGAGCAAATTAGTGTTAAGTGCCTTGCTCAAGGGCACATCAACAGATTTTTCACCTTGTCTGCTCGACTATTCGAACCAGCAACCTTTCGGTTACTGACCCATCGCTCTAACCGCTAGGCTACCTGCCTCACTCATGCATACAGTTTATACACATTTTCTGTAAAACATGCACATGCAATGCACTACTCAGTGTTCAGTGTTCTTTCCTCATCCACTATGCCCCCTGTAGGTGAGGGAGAAGATGGTCTACGCTGCCACCCGTGCCACACTGAAGAAGGAGTTTGGCGGAGGTCACGTCAAGGATGAGATGTTTGGCACAGTTGAGGTCTGTGGTCTGGAATCATCAAATCCAAAACACTTTTATTTTACTTTGGATTAACTGACTTGTGGGTTAACCCTATCAATCCCAGGCCTTTGAAATAACTTCCCTTCTCCCCCCTTTACTTTTTTTATATTGGAACATTTGACTGACTCCACAGCATACAAGTGTTTCTACTCTGTTCAGGAGGTCCAGGGCCAGGGGTTAAGATGCTTACTAGACCACACCCACTCCAGAGTCCACAAAGTAGAGCAAAGTTCCACATCCCATTTGGGTAGACTAGACACTAGAGGGAAGTTGATGAAGGAGGGGTTAAATGAGGTCTTGACGATGATGATCATGTGTAGGCACTACAGTCAGTGACTGATGTCACCCAGTTGCCTTTGCTGTCTGAATATCAGCCTCCAATCAGTTGAATCACTATGTGATTGACAGCTCATGGTAACAGCTGATCACAACCCTGCCTCAGTGTCCTCAACTACCTCCTTACATATGTAGGATCTTAATTTGATCACTCTGTTATAGGACAACATTCCTGCAATGCAGGAAATGTAAAACGTGTTGTGTATTTGTGTTTTAAAAGGCTTCTGAAGTTTGTCATTTCCACTTTGAAATGTCTACTTTGAAATTTCCCTTACGAAACATGTATCAACCCCTACAAAAATGTCCATTATTATAATCCACATAGTAATTCACATTTCCTGTTGCTGCAAATTAAGAGTTAAGATGATGCATGATAAATTGGGTCGGAGCCCTCTATTTGTGAATAAAGTATGTTGGGTTTGTTCAGCAAATCACTTCCTGGTTCCTGTGTCCACAGGAAGACCTGTGTTTCCAGGGGTACCTGCGTCACATGTCCTCCTGCTCCTCCCCTGCACCTCTCACAGTAGCGGAGCAGGAGCTGCAGCGAATAAAAATCACAGAGGTAAAGCAAAGGGGAGTGAATTTGCTAATATATCCACCAATCAGTATATTCAGAGTGTATTATACATATACAATGTAGGCTACTACTGTAAGATAATGTATCTTGTTATACCTTTGTATGATGTGTAGTACGTATTGTCATCCATATGTGTTTGTGTCTCTGTAATGTGCCATCCAGGACAAGGTTGTATGGGTAAGCTATGGTTCTTCTCTCAGTATTTTCACGTGTGTATTTTGTATCTGTGTGTGTATGTGTGTGTGTCTGAGCATCTGGTTCAGGTGTATGTAGGCAATGAGTGCAAGTATGTGTGCAACGTGTGTGTGCATGTGTGTGAGAAAAAAAGAGAGAAAGAGATGAAACATTAAGTCTGTCCATTTTATGCCCACAGGATGAGCGTAGAAGGTTAAGCAACACTCCTAGAGGACGAGCAAAGGTTTGTCCCACCCTCTCATCTTCAATTCTGTACTAGAGACTTTTAAAAGTGGCACTCCAGTCTCCTTTTCAGCTCATTTAACAAAAGGCACATCTCAATAGGTGGTCCTGGTAAGTCATGACATAGCGGGGGGGGGCTTCCTCTGTTGTTCCTGAAGCAAAGGGGGAGGCCGATGACATCAAGACTTCCCATCAGACCAACTCCTTGAATGCCCTACTCCTTGAACTTTGCAGTTGTGAACACTATTTAGCTCAAAATATATTTTTTGACCCTTTAGTGTGTGTACTACATTGTATTTATACTTGGGATATCACTTTCAACAGTAAAAGTTCAAAATTCGCTGGAGGATGTCTTTAAAGAGATGCTTGCTCCTCATCTTTAAGCCACAAGACACATTTTATAACTATGTTTTCACCTGCATCTCTTTTTATTGATTTGTGTAGTTGATAACCACTTTTCCTTCTGCTGTACCTTGTTCCTTATAGTTTATATAGGACTACATTATTGATGTGTGTTATGCAGACTGTGGTTTTATGGCTATATGTCGGCCCCTACAGGTGACAATGGAGTTTGGTTTGGACAAAAGGCACCAGACTCTTACAGGCCTGGCGTTCCCTCTACAGGAGGAGGCCAAACGCGCTCTGCAGCAACTCAAGCAGAAACGTATCAACTACATACAGCTGGTGAGCTGACCTCACAAAACAAACGTACAAAAAAAAGTCAAACAAAACATGCAACAAACATTCTCTCTCTATCTCTTGCTCACGCGCACGTACGCACAAGCACACACACACACACACACTCAGTATTATGTTTTTTGTGTGCCTCAGAAGTTGGACACAGAGAAAGAGACAGTCGAGCTGGTCCACACCAACCCCACAGAGACCCGTGAGCTTCCCTACAGAATCCCTACAGACACACCCAGATACCACTTCTTCATCTTCAAACACTCCCACCAAGGACAGCAACAGGAGGCTCTGGGTCAGTATCACACACACACACGTGCACATACACACACATACACAGGCACGCACGTGCACACACACACATTACACGCAATTAAAGGTTATAGGATCGCTCATAATCCTTCTCTCTCTCTCGTTCTCTCTCTGGCACTCTCTCTCTCTCTCTCAGTGTTCATCTACTCCATGCCAGGGTACAGCTGTAGCATTAAAGAGCGGATGTTGTACTCTAGCTGTAAGAACCCGCTACTGGAAGAGGTGGAGAGAGACTACCGTCTAGATATCGCCAAAAAGGTTCAACAATTAGACAGCCTCCAAGTTACCCATCTTTAATTGACATGATAATGTCAGACTATCATATCACAGTTAAAAGTGAGTGTACATGTATACTGATGTTGTTTTCCATGATCCTTCTTTCTCCCTCTTCCCTTTTACTCTTGCGTGCGTGTGTATGTGCGTGTGCATGCGCGTGTGTGCGTGTGTGTGCGTGTGTGCGTATTTGTGTGTGTGTTTTGGTGTGTGTGTGTGTATATTTGTGTGTATTTGTTTGTATTTGTGTGCGTGTGCGTGTGTGTGTGTGTGTGTGTGTGTGTGTGTGTGTGTGTGTGTGTGTGTGTGTGTGTGTACAGATTGAGATTGACGGTGGGGATGGACTGACGGAGGAGTTTCTGTATGAGGAGGTCCATCCCATTGAACACACTCTGAAGCAGGCGTTCGCCAAGCCACGTGGGCCAGGGGGGAAGAGGGGCAACAAGCGCCTCGTCAAGGGGGCCGGAGAGAATGGAGAAGAGAGCTAGAGAGTGACAGGAACAGGCTCACACACAAACCTCCATGTATAACCTGGCCTCTTTCTCCTCAACTGTCTGTTTGTTCCCTTGTGGACCTGATAGTGCTTATTTTAAGATAAAGCAAAGTCTCAAGGTCTATTTTTTATGTTATGCAACATTACTTTTATGTTCCCTTTTTCCACTCTGTCCATTGTTTCACTATCAGTGCCCTGTTCCTCATACTAAAAGACACACCACCTTGCCCTTCCCCAAAAGGACTGATCACAGTCAGATGAAGGTTCAATCAGATACAGGTTGAAGCATATCAGTATGCTCATTATTTTACATTATATTCCAATAAATAAACAATTCTGTACATTTAATTTGTCTTCTGTTTTTACTAAATGTTTGGGTAATAAGGGATACAACAAGGGATGATCAAGTGTTAAATAAAATAATGTGTGTGAATGTGTGTTTGTACATACCACAGTTATAATCTGAATTAGGTCAAATTATGTCTGATAAATATTTTTGGGAATGGCACCCAGCCTCTACCTGGAAAATAATTCAGGTGGCCTAGTCTACCTGATAGGCTTACACATCGTTGCTTGTCTGTCCTGTAAAACAGATAGTATAACATTAAATAAGTAAAATTTGAGACTTATTTGTTTGTAAACACTCATTTAAACAATGTATATGCTTAAAAACAGTAATTACAAAGTTAAAGAAGCAACAGTAGCCTATGAAACATTAGGAGGGAGGGCGTAGCATTATAAGGGGGAGGCTCAGTCAGCTAAGGTCAATTTCAGTCAGCTTTCCTGGAAAGTGCTCTACTTAGAAGTCATCCGCTGCGCATTAGGCGTACTGGTGATGCCAGCTGAGCCTCTTCCATACCGCTGTCGCGAGGCTGAAAAGGAAACTTGAGCACGCGCCGGAGCCAATCGAAACGCAGCGCAGCTCGCAAGCGCAGTTCCGCGAAACTGGGCAGATGCGGCCCCTGCCGCCGCGGGCGCTGAAATACAAAGCCATTCTTGGAATTAGATTCCTAGAACTTCCGTCAACTGCAAAACTGAATTTACAAGAGAGGCGTTTTCTCACCGTCTTTCCGTAGAATAGAATAGAGAACAGAACAGTGTCTGGTGAGCGGATCACTGCGCTGGACTTTACCCTCTATTTTTGCCGAGGTTGAAACTGACACGTTGGAGATTTTATAGTTTTTACCAAAATAAGTTATGATTATTTTTCTTTTAGAAAAAATTCTGAATAGTCTATTGAGTTAATGAGAATACTTTTGTTATTCGGATTATTGGCGCCATGACAACATCAACTCAGTGACTGTTCCTACAACATATAAGAATCACTGGGTTTGTTGGATATGTTTAAACTGGATTCATATTCATTATGATTTCTTGTGTTCAAAGGTAAGTTGAATTTGTTGTTGGCACAATTCTCATTAGGTTACACTGTGTCTACCAATTACGCTACATGCACAAATTTTTATTTCACACCTTGGCTGTGCTGAGAAAATCAAATGTAGCCACGTTTTGACATAATGTAGGAAATGAAGGAACATTCAGCACAGAGCTAATTCGTTGTGTACCAGACAGTGTGGAACAAAGCCAGGATAATTATGAAAGTGTTTATGATTTATATAATTTCATATTCGAAGATGATAAATTAGGCCTATAATCGAAAAATGTCTGCCTGTTACAGTTGTAGCCTAGGCTAAAAGTTTGAATGTGGATGGACCTTTTCTCCATGCACAATGGAAGTGATTGCTGGTCAAGAATTCATCATGGGATTTGACCTTGTTACCTACATTATATATTATTTGTATATCATATATGAGTAATAATAGGTTAACAATAATTCTGGATCCTAAACGTTTTGTTTAACGTTATTTTTACGTTATTTTAGTTGTGTAGCCCCTTTGGAGAAGCTATGATTATGATTTATTTTATTATTTATTCATACAATTAATTTAAATCTGTGCTCAGTTAATTCTAACCCATGAAGATGATAACTACATATGGTTGCCCCCGCACAACGTCACCTTGCTCCTCTACGGAATGGATACTACAAGTGTAATGTCTGCGCTCAATGCAATGGCATTTACAAATGTAGATCCTTCAAACACCCCCAAACAGGGAAACAGATCAATCAAAGGCGTTATCACGTGCTCCACTAAGGCAGTTATTTATCTTATAACTTGTCCTTGTGGTAAAAAGTATGTGGGTAAAACGAAGCGCGAACTAAAAGTAAGAATCTCTGAACATCGTAGCACCTGTTAGGTGCAAAAACTCGACGTATCCAGTTGCGGCCCATTTTTTGGAAGCGAACGACTCTATTTCGTCCCTTTGCTATATCGGCATCGAACACGTCACCCTCCCTTGGAGAGGGGGTGACCTTGACAATTTATTGTTAAATCAAGAGGCCGCCTGGATCTTTAATTTAAAGAGCCTTGCTCCCTTCGGTTTGATCTGAAGCCATTCTTGTGATTATTGTGTTTTTACTATCCATTGTAAATAATGTTTGGAGGCCTATGTAGTCAAATGGTATCTCTGATCATATGTAATCCATTCATGCTTTTTTATATGTTCTATTTATCTGTAAATCGACCAATGAAATCAAGCCACAGCCGGCCATGATTACAGACACCTGTGTGCCCTTTCAAACTCTATATAAACTAGTGACCCGCAGTGTTTGTGATTATACCCTGATGAAGACAGCTTGGCTGTCGAAACGTTGGTTATACAATTATTGCATCTGAGCTCCTAGAGTGTGAAGCTCTCCTTTTCTTTTTCACTACACATGGTTAACATAAAGGCACAAGGTTAAGTCATAGTTGATACAGAAAGGAGGAAAATAATATTCTTTAGGCTACATCTTCCTTACACATTTACATACATAAGATTCCCCACATTTTATGTAATGGCAGCATCAGTGACTTCGGGCCCCTGCTGACAGTTTAACAAAGTGCCTCCTATGGGTTCATATACCACCATTTGCCAAGTTATGGAAGACTGTTTATGTAGTCTGATATTCACAGATTTTCCTCAGTCATGATTTCCCCTAAACATCAAACACAAAGCAAGCTGCATGAGCACTCTCTCTGCCCTCCCCTTATCTTATATGACAACATTGTTGGGTGGAAATCACAACCATTTTGCCACCCCTAGATGTGAAATATGTTTCTGTCTCCATAGTAACTACTGTGTTATAGCTTATCCAATCCAGGCACAAAATGATAGATTATTTCCTCCTACCTCAGGGCTCTGTTGCCAGGGCCACCTTCAGATATGATTGCCAGGACGATGAGCAGCATGCAGCAGGATTATGGTGAGAGAGGAGAGTCGTGTTGTCAGAACCCAACTGCCCCTCTCTACGACCCTACAGAGGACCTCTGCTGCATCACCACCACCTTCCAGTACCTGCAGAACTCAGGTAGGCCTACTAGCACCCCCCCACCTCCCACCCTTGTGTGTATGTGTGTGAGTATGTGTGTATGTATGTGTGTGTCAATGTGTGTTTGTGTGTGTAAGCATGTGTGTGCGTTAAAGTCTGCATGTAATGGAGATAATATGGGACACAATAGTAACATGTGGGTCTGTTTCTGGCTCCAGGTTGGTACTGGGGGTCCATTTCAGCCAGTGAGGCTCGAGACGCTCTCCTGAAGGTGTCAGTGGGAACCTTCCTGGTACGCGACAGCAGCCACCCTCTCTACATGCTGACCCTGTCAGTGAAGACGGCTTGTGGCCCCACCAACGTACGCATAGAGTACAGCAGGGGTCGCTTCCGGCTGGATTCCAGCTCCCCAGGCCCCCCTCGCTTGCTGTCCTTCCCTGACATCTGCAGCCTGGTGCAACACTACGTAGGCTCAGGCCAGACACAACAGGGCAAGAGATCAGAGTCAGAGGACCCTCCTAAACCTAAAGCCAAACCCAGCCCTTCCCAGCCCTCAGCGAAGGACAATGCAGTACTGCTCAAGCTGATGCGTCCCCTGCCTCAGGCCTTCCCCTCTCTCCAGCACCTCACACGCCTCACCATCAACTGCCAAACCGACTGTCCTGACCAGCTGCCCCTGCCACGCCCACTGATGCGCTACCTGCAGGCCTACCCTTTCCAGGTATGAGGGTCCTCTGGCAGCCATCCCTGCCCAAGGAAGGGCACACAGCAGCACCAGGGACCTCCCAGTGAGGGTCAGAGGTTATGACCTTATGCTTATAGGGTCAGAGATAGCCTCTGACTCAGCTCAGCTGGACAGTGGCACTTGGAAAGGTAGGACTGTACAAGTCTCACTGGGCCTTGGGCAGCTCGTACAGACATCCATGAACTGGACTCTTGAAATTACATTTTTATAACCATTTATACTGTTTACTTAATTTTTTTCACGGATTTTATAATAATTACATTATATGGATTTTGTGTCTATTGTTTTAAATAAATCTATTTTATAGTAAAATAATAAAGGATGTCTCTTCTACGTCTTATGTCTAACCCATCATTTTGGAATTGTAGGTAGAATAATAATGAAACCATTCTTACACTTTGCTGCTGTACTCCTTATCATCTTTCACAGATGGAGGGATGCTGATGAAAAAAGGGGAGCGATCTTGTTATTGTAAGATTTTAATTACTTATCAAAAATCTATGTGTTTTGTGTAAATTCAAATGAAACACAACAGGTTTCGTAAAACACTCACATGGGGAAATGATTAGCATTGAGCCTATTGCTGGGAGCATGGGAAACATTATGCCTGAGTTGGTTTCCAAGAGGTGAATTTGAGTAGTGCTAAGAAAGCCTCTTATCAGGATTAGAGCCAGAGCCATGGTGATTAATACACGAACAGAGGACAGAGTGTACTCACACACGCACAAACGCACGCACGCACGCACACACACGCACGCACGCACGCACACTCGCACACGCACATGCACACACGCACACGCACACGCACACACACACATACACACACACACACACACACACAGAGAGGTGCATATAAACACAAACACAAACACACACACACGCACAAACACACGCACGCACGCACACTCACACACACTCACACACACACGCACACGCGCACACGCACACACGCACACGCACACACACACATACACACACACACACAGAGAGGTGCATACAAACACAAACACAAACACACACACACGCACACTCACACACACACACTCACACACACACACACGCACGCACATGCACACGCGCACACACGAACACGCACACACACACATACACACAGAGAGGTGCATACAAACACAAACACAAACACACATGCATACAAACACAAACACATACACACACACACACACACACATACTCACTAACTGTAAGTTGCTCTGGATAAGGGCGTCTGCTAAATTACTAAAATGTAAAAATGTAAATACACACACACACACACACACACAGAGGCGCATACAAACACACACATACAAACACAGATACATATGCGCATGACATACACATGTACACATGTACACACACACACAGCATTGTGAAGCAGGCTGAACTTTTTGTCAACCATTGTTTAGCAATCTGTTTCCACTAATTCAAAATTATTTATCTATCACATCTTTTTTGTAGGTACCAATGATGTACAGTGCATTCGGAAAGTATTCAGACCCCTTGACTTTTTCCACATTTTGTTACGTTACAGCCTTATTCTAAAATGGATTAAATTATTATTTTTCCTCATCAATCTACACACAATACCACATAATGACTAAGTGAAAACAGGTTTTTTGAAATTTTTGCAAATGTATTAAAAATATTAAACGGAAATACCTTATTTACATAAGTATTCAGATTGTTTGCTATGAGACTCGAAATTGAGCTCAGGTGCATCCTGTTTCCATTGATCATCCTTGAGATGTTTCTACAACTTGATTGGAGTCTACCTGTGGTAAATTCAATTGATTGGACATGATTTGGAAAGGCACACACCTGTCTACAGTGCATTCGGAAAGTATTCAAACCCCTTCCCTTTTTCCACATTTTGCTACGTTTCAGCCTTATTCTAAAATGGATTAAATTAAATGTTTCCCTCATCAATCTACACACAATACCCAATAATGACAAAGTGATAACAGGTTTTTAGAATTTTTTGCAAATTTATTAAAAATAAAAAACCTTTATCTACATAAGTATTCAGACCCTTTGCTATGAGACTCGAAATGTGTATTTCTATTTGTATTTATTAGGGATCCCCATTAGCTGCTGATGCTTCCTGAGGTCCAAACACATTAAAGCACATACTTTACATATAAAACAAAAGATAAAACAGTACCTAATGTAACATTATTACACCACTACATATCTACAATACACAATGTACAATACAAAATGTAAAATACCACCATACAACAATATTACAATGTACGTGTGTGTAAAGTGCGTGTGCTAGCGTTTGTGTGCGTATGCGTGTCTGTACCTTTGTGTGTCTCTTCACAGTCCCCGCTGTTCCATGAGGTGTATTTATACCTGTTTTTTAAATCTGATTGTACTGCTTGCATCAGTTACCTGATGTGGAATAGAGTTCCATGTAGTCATGGCTCTATGTAGTAATGTGCGCCTCCCATAGTCTGTTCTGGACTTGGGGATTGTGAAGAGACCTCTGGTGACATGTTTTGTGGGGTATGCATGGGTGTCCGAGCTGTGTGCTAGTAGTTTAAACAGACAGCTCGGTACATTCACCTTGTCAACACTTCTTACAAAAACAAGGAGTGATGAAGTCAATCTCTCTTCCACTTTGAGCCATGAGAGATTGACATGCATATCATTAATGTTAGCTCTCTGTGTACTTTTAAGGGCAAGCCGTGCTGCCCTGTTCTGAGCCAATTGTAATTTTCCTAAGTCCCTCTTTGTGGCACCTGACAGTAGTCTAGGTACGACCAAACTAGGGCCTGTAAGACCTGCCTTGTTGATAGTGTTGTTAAGAAGGCAGAGCAGCCCTTTATTATGGACAGACTTCTCCCCGTCTTAGCTACTGTTGTATCAATATGTTTTGGCCATGACAGTTTACGATCCAGGGTTACTTCAAGCAGTTTAGTCACCTCAACTTGATCAATTTCAATATTATTCATTACGAGATTTAGTTGAGGTTTAGTGAATGACTTGTCCCAAATACAATGCTTTTAGTTTAGGAAATATTGAGCTCATGTGCATCCTGTTTCCATTGATCATCCTTGAGATGTTTCTACAACTTGATTGGAGTCCACCTGTGGAAGATTCAGTGGCCTCCATCTTTCTTAAATGGGAGAAGTTTGGAACCACCAAGACTCTTCCTAGAGCTGGCCGCCCGGCCAAACTGAGCAATCAGGGGAGAAGGGCCTTGGTCAGGGAGGTGACCAAGAACCCAATGGTCACTCTGACAGAGCTCCAGAGTTCCTCTGTGGGGATGGGAGAACCTTCCAGAAGGACAACCATCTCTGCAGCACTCCACCAATCAGGCCTTAATGGTAGAGTGGACAGACGGAAGCTACTCCTCAGTAAAAGGCACATGACAGCCCACTTGGAGTTTGCCAAAAGGCACCTAAAGGACTCAGACCATGAGAAACAAGATTCTCTGGTCTGATGAAACCAAGATTGAACTCTTTGGCCTGAATGCCAAGCATCACGTCTGGAGGAAACCTGGCATAATCCCTACGGTGAAGCATTGTGGTGGCAACATCATGTTGTGGGGATGTTTTTCAGCGGCAGGGACTGGGAGACTAGTCAGGATCGAGGGAAAGATGAACAGAGCAAAGTACCGAGAGATCCTTGATGAAAACCTGCTCCAGAGTGCTCAGGACCTCAGACTGGGGCAAAGGTTCACCTTCCAACAGGACAACGACCCTAAGCACACAGCCAAGACAACGCAGGAGTGGCTTCGGGACAAGTCTCTGAATGTCCTTGAGTGGCCCAGCCAAAAAAACAGTTTTTGCTTTGTCATTATGGGGTATTGTGTGTAGATTGATGATGGAAATAAAACGATTTTATCAATTTTAGAATAAGGCTATAACGTAACAAAATGTGGAAAAAGTTAAGGGGTCTGAATACTTTCCGAATGCACTGTATTTAGTTAACTATTTAACTAACTATTTAGCAGTCTTATGGCTTGAGGAGAGAAACTGTTCAGGGTCCTGTTGGTTCCAGTCTTGGTGCATCGATACCACTTGCCGTGCGGTAGCAGAGAGAACAGTCTATGACTTGGGTGGCTGGAGTCTGACACCGCCTGGTATAGAGGTCCTGGATGGCAGGGAGCTCGTCCTCAGTGATGTACTGTGCTGTACGCACTACCCTCTGTAGCGCCTTGCGGTCTGATGCCAAGCAGTTGCTATACCAAGTGGTGATGCAGCCACTCAAGATGCTCTCAATGGTGCAGCTGTAGAACTTTTTGAGGATCTGAGGACCCATGCCAAATCTTTTCAGCCTCCTGAGGGGGAAGAGGCGTTGTCCTGCACTCTTCACTACTGTGTTGGTGTGTTTGGACCATGATAGATCCTTAGTGATGTGGACACCGAGGAACTTGAAGCTCTCGAAAAAATACACAATACAATATACCGCACTAGGAAGTAGCAGGCACTGCAAGAAGCCCCTGGAGTGACGCGGTGCCTGCTGTGATTGGTCGAGATTTCACAACGCAGTGGACCGCTCACGTCCCTTGACCACTACCCCACCTCTACAGCACCGGTTAGATGAGGTGAGAAAGCTGAGGAGTGACAGAGAGCAGGACACCCCCCCTGAGAAGCCAGCAGAACAGCCACCTCAGACCCGGACCACAACCTCAACACCACAATGGGACAGACAACACAGGACCCACCAACCCAACAGACCCCACCCCCTCCTAACAGCCCCCCTGTCAGCACCCTCGATAGCCCTCCTGACAACCCCCACACCTCCACTGAGGACACACAATAGCCAGAGATTGTGCTCCTCATTGACTCAAATGGGAAATACATTCAAAATAATAAATGTTTTCCCAAACACAAAGTGGCTAAACTCTGGTGCCCAAACACTAGGCATGCCCTGGAGCTGTTGTCAGAGGACAGACTAGGGTCCCCCAGCCACATCATAATTCACACTGGCACAAACAAACTGAGGGCCCAGCAGGAAAGGGTGGCCAC